AATACTTCACGGTGAGCGAGGAGAGCGGGAACCTGTACGTGAGCGAGAGGCTGGACCGGGAGGAGATGTGCGGCGAGTCGGTGTCCTGCTCCGTCAGCTTCGAGGCGCTGCTGCAGAACCCGCTCAACGTTTTCCACGTCGAGGTGGCCATCCAGGACGTCAACGACAATTCACCGACCTTCAGCAAGGCTGCTCTCGACCTCGAGATCGGTGAATGGACTACGCCCGGTGCTCGTTTTCCTCTGGAGATGGCTCGAGACGCAGACGTGGGCAGCAACTCGCTGCTGACTTACCAGCTCAGCAGCAACCCGTCCTTCACTCTGGCTGTGAAGGAAAGCCCCGATGGAAGCAAGCAGCCGGAATTAGTGCTGGAGCGAGCTCTGGACCGGGAGAAGCAGAGCTCCTTCCAGCTGGTGCTGACGGCGATGGATGGCGGGGAACCGGTGAGGTCCGGGACTGTGCAGGTTCGCGTCAACGTGACGGACGCCAACGACAACGCGCCCGTGTTCAGTAAAAGCGTCTACGAGGCGCGAGTGCGGGAGAATCTGCCGGCGGTTGCTGCGGGTGCGAGCCACGGACGCGGACGCGGGCACCAACGGGCAGGTCTCGTACTCGTTCGGCAACGTCCCGGACGGCGTCCGCGCGTTGTTCAGCGTCGGCAGCGACAGCGGCGAGGTGAGGACGGTGGGGCCCCTCGATTTCGAGGAGAAGAGCAAATACAGCTTCGGCCTGGAGGCGAGGGACGGCGGCGGGCTCACGGCTCACTGCGAGGTGCAGATAGACATCACCGACGAGAACGACAACGCGCCCGAAATCACGATGTTGTCGGTGTCGAGCCCGGTGGCCGAGGACGCGCCAGCCGGCACCGTGGTGGCCCTGGTGAAAGTCCGGGACCGGGACTCCGGGGAGAACGGGCAGGTGTCGTGCGAGCTGTTGGGTGAGGCGCCGCTGTCGATCGTGTCGTCGCCGGGCGGCTCGTACAAGGTGGTGACGGCGAGCGCGCTGGACCGGGAGC